GATTGTTGTTGGGGGCAATATGCTGACTCTGTAAACCGCTTAGAGAGGGCTGAAAGCCCTATGAAGCGGTATATAAGTCTAACTGCTATTACTATGGCTATAATGTTAATTCCCCAGAATTTTAAGTGACAATTTTTCCAGGTCTCTGTGGAAATGCCCAAAGATTGCTCAGATGTATGCAAAACATGTATTTCCTGAAGAGCTAAATCTCTCCATTCATTAAGCATAATTTTAGTGAGAGAGACGTTTAATGGATATCAGTGGCATTGTGGCGAAAGTTTTTTGTGAGTTCCCATTTTCAATCTGCACCTTTTGCTTAATTTCAGTTTCAGTTCCTCTGGGCATTCTAAGTGGTGTGATAGTGAGAACCTTTTTTTGAAAACTGGATATTCCATTTTGATTCATCCTAAGGGTTATTTTAATTTTTAAAAAGTCCATACTGTCCCCAGTTTGAGCAAATGAACCAATGTAGCAGCAGATGAGATGGCAGAAGGAGCGCCAGCAGTGAACTTTTAATCATTGTGTGTGTGTGATTAAAATGATTTGGCTTTGTCTAGGGCTTCCCGTCTCGTCGATGGTCTTTCGATATATAAAAGGCATAAAATGAAGCCTGGATATTGAAGCTCAACAAGGACGGCGGATTCTGCATTAAGAAGGAAGCCTTATGACATGGCTGTTCTTGTTCAAAACCCACAGAGAGAACTGTAAAAGGGCTAAGGGCCTGTGATGACAGTTTTCAGTGTGCCAGCATCCCTCCTTTACAAGCTTGAACAGGAACTGGATACAGATGAAAAGGAAACCGTGGTCTTCTTGTGCAGCGATCTCGTGCCTGACGAATCTATCTCTGATGTCCTACAACTCTTGACAGCTTTGAACGAAAAGGAGATTCTTACCACCATCAACTTATCTGAACTATTGTACAGGCTGAAAAGATTTGACTTGTTAAAGAAGTTCCTGGGGACTGGAAGAGCAGCTGTGGAAGTTAATTTAGCCCATCATTCTCAGATGTTGTCAAAATACAGGTGAGCTAAATTCAAGAGCATTCTGGGCTTTTGAAAAACACACATCTCTATATTAGTTTTTGTTTCCATTGGTTTCTGTTTCTAAGAATTGCTTCGCTTGAAAATGCTCCATTGTATGGATAACACCAGGATTGTAAAATTCTGTGAGTCCTCTCTTCCATTTCTATAAACTGAAAAACAATTTTGGAAGGAGAATAGTGATCCAGTATTAGGTTATAAATTAGGTTAGTGATCCACAGTTATCGACTATGATGGCCGGCTATAGAAATTTAATATTTTAATATAAATTTAAATCAAGTAACAATTGCAATGATTTACATTGGAAATTCAGACTATGAATGAAAGCTATCTGTATGTACAGTCGATAGATACGTAACTGTAATCTTTTAAAAATCTTTTAAAATAAAAAAATAAATAAATATACCAATCATGGAACTTGATCATTCAGACCACCACGGGTATTAGAAATCTCAGTCATTTACACTAATTATTTGTTCAGGGGAGCGAGTAAACAACTGAAACCCAAACCAAAGTTAGCTTGTACTTGAACATTTTCTAATTAAATATAAAATTGCTGTGGTACCCTTCTTTTTTTTATTTTTTCGTTTCACCATAACTAACGCAAGGACTCTTTTCATCTTAAGAATTTTCAACAATCCTACATCAGATGCAGAAGATTAGGTTGCAATTGTTGGGAGCATCCCAAATAAGTCAGAACTAGCATTATTTTATGAGAGTTTGGGTCTCAAGGCATCTGGAGGGCCCCAGGATGGAGAAGCTGCCCTAGTGTAAAAACCTAAAATTCAGGTAAGAAGCCATCAATGGCCAAGTGCAGGCTATTTCTGCTGACTCACGACTGCCTGCAATTTGGCATTTCGATTCTCACCAACCTCAAGGTTGACTCAGCCTTCCATCCTTCCGAAGTGGGTAAAATGAAGACCCAGATGGTTAGGGGCAATATGGTGACTCTGTAAACCGCTTAGAGAGGCTATAAAGCACTGTGAAGCGGTTATATAAATCTAAGTACTATTGCTATTACTATCAGTATGTCAGAAGAGTTACCAAAATCTGTAGACAAGTAGGAATTTAGCAGGATATCCAAAATATGCCTATTTTCATTCCGATCCATACATGAACTGAGCCTCAGCAATAGATATACATTTTATGGTGTACAAAGGATGCATAAAAGAAAAATCGATATATTATTGTTATGGGAAGCTGCTGTGCACCGTTGTATTACTGGCCCAATTAATTCAATATTGCCCAAACCAGTATTCTCCGTAGACAGCAAAGTACAAAGGGAAGTGCATACTTCACCATTGGTCATTCTGTGTAGGACTGATAAGAATTATAGTCCAAAATAACCATAATAACTTTCAAAGTTCAATTTGTTCCCGAATACCTTTTCCTGATTTTATTAAGCCATATTCTCTATTTTTACTCTTGGTATTGGGTTCTTGCTATTTGCAGTTGTACTGTGTATTCATTTGGTCTTGCTCTTAACTATTAATAATTATTGGTTGAAAAATGCATATATGGTTAAAATATAGTTCAAGAAAGGAGTATTGTATAAGAATATGTAGCACAGCCCCTTGGATGGGAGAGCAAAGCCTTTTCAAAATTAATTTAATTTTAAAATAATTGCAAACTGTGTTTGTGTGCAGGGTGTTGATGACTGAAATCAATGAAGATCTGGACAAAGAAGACTTGAGATCTCTCTCTTTCCTTCTGAAAAATCATCTTGGTAAATCGCATAAGGAGAAGGTAAACTTAAGATAAACATGATAGCAATTCATCTCAGTTCTCTCTGTGTTACAGTGAATGAACACAGAGGAAGGAACAAGGATGTCCTGGTTTATGTCTGTTGGCTTTGCCTCCTTCCCACACGCAGGTGTAAGAGAGCACCACGCACCTGCAGGATGTAGCTATGATCTATGCTTTATAAATCAAACTTTGGAAAGATAGTACTAAATCAACAGGAAGGTTAGAAAGCAATAAACCTAATGGGATAGAAAGTTAGCGTCTGTTGTAACCAGGCCACTTCAAATTACAAATGAAAGGATAAATAAATAGCTCCTCGGGGTTAGGTACAGCACAATAGAGTCGAGGTGGCGCAGTGGTTAGGGTGCAGTACTGCAGGCCACTTCAGCTGACTGTTATCTGCAGTTCAGCGGTTCTAATCTCACCGGCTCAAGGTTGACTCAGCCTTCCATCCTTCCGAGGTGGGTGAAATGAGGACCCAGACTGTGGGGGCGATATGCTGACTCTGTAAACCGCTTAGAGAGGGCTGAAAGCCCTATGAAGCGGTATATAAGTCTAACTGCTATTAATAGCATTTTCTCTTTCTCTTTCTCTTTCCATAAGGTCCTCTTAACAGTATAGCAAGTTGTTCCTGCATTGGGATATGGAGAATGTTGATTTCTATCTAGGTGGTCAGTGATAATAAAATACAGAAACTGCAAGAAAGTTCATTTGGGAATAACCAGTGCTACTAATAACTTCCAGTTGTTGAAGCTCTTTATTATCACTCGTTGACATACATGAAGCAGAATTCTTAGCTGATAGATTAATTTAATCCATAACTGTTTTTATTTAATTTTACCTGATACTGACAATTCCTCAGCAGTCCCTTTCACCAATTGTGTGTTTCTTAGAATGATTTGCAATAAGATTATGGGCCCCCCAGGTGATTTGGACAAAAATTACTGTCATCTTAACTATGAGCCAATCTGGTATGGTGTTTTAAAATATATAGAGAGGCACTGGGATGGGTTGGAGTGAAAGATCCTATGTCCAGCTTGCTCACTGAAATGAAGTTACTCTGCTGCTAGTTTAAAGTTCAAGCTACTATGTTGTGTAATCCCTTCCTTATTAGTAAAACTGGAAATTCCAAAAACTCTCCCTTGCAGGATTAGTTTAGGGTAAACACTAATTGTGAAGGAATATATATTCCCTAAATAGGGGAGACATACTGCGTGACCCGTCAAAACCGCGGAGGACAAAATCGCGCTCGATGAAAGCGCGCATGTGACGTCATCACAGCGCGACGAAAAAAATTAAAAATTGAAATAAAATTAAAATTAAAGCAAGCTGATTCACATAAAGGTAAGGGTTAGGGTTAGGTTAAGGGTTAGGGTTAGGTTTAGAGCGTATGGGTTACGTTTAGCGTTAGGTTAAGGGTTAGCGTTAGGTTTAGCGTTACGTTAACGGTTAGGTTTAGGGTTAGATTTAGGGTTAGGTTAAGGGTTAGGTTAAGGGTTAGGTTTGGGGTTAGGTTTGGGGGGGTTAGGGTAAGGTTTTCGCTTTATTTTTACATTTTTCGATCACAGCGCGATGTTTTCGTCGCGCTGTGATGACGTCAAATGCGTGCTTTCGTCGAGCGTGATTTTTTCCTCCGCGGTTTTGTGGTGGAACCGACATACTGTACTACCAATCTTTCTATATTCCATGAAAGTTTAATATATAACTGTCATTTCTCAGGAATGTGGTGGCTTGTCCTTTACAATTACACTCTCTGATTTTTCTAGAGTTTTCTGGCAATTATTACTGACTTGGAAAAGCTAGAACTGATATCTCCCATGCATCTGGATTTAATAGAAAATGCCTTCCTGACCATTCACAGGCGAGACTTGGCAAAAAAGATTCAAAAGTACAAACTAGAAGGTAAGATTTGCTATGTTTTACCATTCAGCTTTAGAAGCTAATTCTCATAGTTTGCTGTCTTCACTGTCAAAGAGTTCTGCGTTCCCTGCCTACTGAAGTTGGAGAAATACTTGGGCGAAAATTATACTGAACTCAGTGAGGCTTATTAATATGTTAGTACACCTAGGAATGCTGCTAATAGTAAGTATATCTGAACAATTTGTTGAGTCCAGAAATTTGAGTTTCATGATTTTGAAACAATATGAAACAAACAATTTCATTTTGTCACCAACCCATTTAAGTCTTAGTTGAAAATGGTAATATTGGCAGTACAATAATATATGAAAAAATTATTTCTCACGTCATGATAGCAATAGCAATAGCAGTTAGACTTATATACCGCTTCATAGGGCTTTCAGCCCTCTCTAAGCAGTTTACAGAGTTAGCATGTTGCCTCCAACAACAATCCGGGTCCTCATTTTACCCACCTCGGAAGGATGGAAGGCTGAGTCAACCTTTGAGCCAGTGAGATTTGAACAGCCAAACTGCAGAACTGCAGTCAGTTGAAGTAGCCTGCAGTGCTGCATTTAACCACTGCGCCACCTCGGCTCTTAACCACTGCGTCATGAGAATTTGGGGAGGGAGAATGCAGGAAAAACGTGTTGGTCATGTCCCATCCTTGGGATTGGGTTACCTGTCTCAACAATCCTCCAGACAACAAGTAGAGTTTACTGTTCTAATATTCTGTGCCTTGATTTTTCCATCATTCTAAATCTTGAGCATCTATAAACATATAGAACATGTACTACCCATCCTTCTAAGCATGGGCCTTTATAGTACAGCAGGTAATGAGGATATGTTAGAAGATCTCATTTATTTATTCTCTCTGCTTCTCCCCACGTACATGAACAGCAATCAGTGTAGAGGTAGAAGAGAATTGAGTGGGACAGTTGTTTTACAAAATAACCACTATTGATGTAATTTCTGAGATCTCTCTTTCATTTTTGGCTCTAGCACGCTTTCCAAATATGAATGCAAAAACTCTTCAGGTGTCCTTACCTAAGTTATCTCTAGCTGACCCTCCAGAGGTAAGTGCATTATAATGCAGCACAACTAAATGCTGGTAGTTTCCTCAATTTTGGGAGAAAAGGGTTTTCTGAAGTATGCAGAGCCAAGGAGCTGTAAAAAGCTTGTCTAACTACCGGGAACTGATGAGATGGCAGTGTGTGGTCCTTTCTAAGTGGACTTGGCAAGATCTAGCTTATGGGTATTACGGGTTTACGAGTTTATTGACATTTGTATGCCGCCCACTCCCTTGGGACTCTAGTCAAACTCTGACTCCGAGCAGTGGTGGGTTTCAAAAAATGTTCGAACCTACTCTGTAGGTGTGGCCTCCTTTGTGGGAGTGGCTTGCCGCCCATGTGACCGGAGGGGAGTGGCTTGCCGCCCATGTAACCGGATATGAAGATGCCGACAACACTTGTCAGAACCACCTTAAATTACCTCACACACAGCACCGGGATGCATAAGAATATGATGAAACTTGTTTTTTAAAAGGCATCTTTGGTTTGCGTTAAAACAACTTCAACACACGCAATGTTCTGATTGCACCACAAACGCAGGAGTCATCCTTG